GGTGGAGTAAGACATGAGCTCGTCTTCTCCTGCCAGAGCATGAAAATAACAACTAGCTGTTGAACAATCATTGACAGAAAGACACTGGAACCCACCAAAAAAAGATATTCCACATCCAAGTACAACGGAGAAGCCACAATGAAATAGTAGGAGGGGCACAATTACAATAAAATAAAATCCTATACCCATGAGGTGGGCAACTCACAAAGTGAATAATAATATCAAAGACATGCTCACACTGTTGTGAAGGTTCTAGGTAACACATCAGGCTCCCCAGCCTGGGGATTTAGTCAAGGAACTGGGAATCCCCAGAGAATCTGACTTTGAAGGCCAGCAGGATTTGATTATAGAGCTTCCATATGGCTAGGGGAAACAGAGACCCTTGGAGGGCACAAAATCTTGTGTGCACCAGGACCCAGGGGAAAGTGCAGTGACCCTACAGGAGAGTGAGCCAGACCTACCTGTGACTGTTTGAGGGTCTCTTGGAGAGGTGTGGGTCAGCAGTGGCCTGCCATGGAGATGGGGGCATTGGCAGCAGCAGTCCTGGGAGATGCATCTCAGCATAAGTCCTCTTGGAGGTCATCAATAGCCCTACATGTTATTCATGTATGAATGTGAGAGCTGGACCATAAAGAAGGCTGAGCACCAAAGAATTGATGCTTTTGAACTTTGATGTTGGAGAAGACTCTTGAGAGTCCCTTGGACTGCAAGGAGATCCAACCAGTCCATCCTAAAGGAGATCAGTCCTGAATATTCATTGGAAGGACTGATGCTGAAGCTGAAGCTCCAATACTTCAGCCACCTGATATGAAGAGCTGACTCATTAGAAAAGACCCTGATGCTGGGAAAGATTGAAGGTGGGAGAAGGGGATGACAGAGGACAAGATGGCTGGATGGCATCACCGACTCAATGGACATGAGTTTGAGCAAGTTCTGGGAGATGGTGAAGAACAGGGAAGCCTAGCATGCAGCAGTCCATGGGGTCGCAAAGAGTCAGACATGACTGGGCGACTGAACAGTAACAACAGAAGCCTATAGACTCCAGCTGAACAACTAACAGGGAGGGAGCACAACCTCACTCATCAGCAGACAATTGGATTAAAGTTTTACTGAGCCCCAGAGCAAGACCCAGTTTTCCCCACAGCCAGTCCCTCCCATCAGGAAGCTTGCACAAGCCTCTTATCCTCATTCAGCAGAGGGCAGATAGAAGAAATAAGAACTACATTCCCATTAGCCTCCAGAACTAATACCACAATCATAGAAAGATACAAAAAGAAATAGAATTATGTCCCAGAAGGAGGAACAAGATAAATCCCAAGAAAAACAACTAAATGAAATGGAGATAGGCAACCTCCCAGAAAAAGAATTCAGAATAATGATAGTGAAGATGATTCAGGATCTTGGAGAAAGAATGGAGGCAAAGATTGAAAAGATGCAAGAAATGCTTACCAAAGACCTAGAAGAACTGAAGAAGAAACAAGCAGAGATGAACAATACACTAGAAGAAATCAATAGCAGAATAACTGAGGCAGAAGAATGGATAAGTGACCTGGAAGACAGAATGATGAAAATCAATGCTGCAAAACAGAATATAGAAAAAAGAATGAAAAGAAATGAAGGCAGCTTAATAGACCTCTGGGACAACATTAAATGCATCAATTTTCACAGTATAGGGGTCTCAGAAGGAGAAGAGAGAAAGGACCCAAGAAAATATTTGAATAGATAATAGCTGAACACTTCCCCAATGTGGGAAAGGAAATAGTCAACCATGTCTAGGAAGCAAAGAGAGTCCCAGGCAAGATAAACACAAGGAGGAATACACTGAGATACATAGTAATCAAATTGACAAAAATTAAAGACAAAGATAAATTATTAAAAGCAACAAGGTAAAAAGACAACATATAAGGGAAAACCCATAAGATTGTCAACCAATTTTTCAACAGAAACTCAACAAGTCAGAAGGGAATGGAACAATATATTCCAAGTTATGAAAGGGAAGAACCTACAACCAAAAATACTCTACCCAGCAAGACTGTCCTTCAGATTTGATGGAGAAATCAAAAGCTTTCCAGATTAGCAAAAGATAAGAGCATTCAGCACAACTAAACCAATTTTACAACAAATGCTAAAGGAACTTCTCTAGGCAAGAAACACAAGAGAAGGAAAAGATCTGCAAAAAATAAACGCCAAACAATTAACAAAATGGTAATAGGATCATACATGTCAATAATTACACATTTTTTCAAGTGCACATGGGACATTCTCTAGGGCTGACCACATGCTGGGCCACAAGGCAAGCCTTGGTAAATTTGAGAAAGTCAAAATCTTATCAAGCAGCTTTTCTGATCACAGTACTATGAGATTAGAAATAAACTTCAAAGAAAACTCTAAGAAACACATGGTGGCTAAACAATATGCTACTAAACAACCATTTGATTACTGAAGAAATCAAAGAATAAATAAAAAAAATACCTAGACACAAATTAAATGCAAGTACAATGGTCCAAAACTTACTGGATGCAGCAAAAGCAGTTCTAAAAAAGAAGTTTATAGCTATACAATCTCACCTCCAAAAACAAGAAAAGCTTCAAATAAACAACATAACCTTATACCTAAAGCAACTATAGAAAGAACAAACAAATCCTAAAGTTAGTAGAAGGAAGGGAATCATAAAGATCAGAGCAGAAATAAATGAGAGACAAAACAATGGCAAAGATCAATGAAACTAAAAGCTGGTTCTTTGAACAGATAAATGATATTGATAAACCTTTAGCCAGACTCACCAAGAAAAAAAGGGAGAGGACTCAAATCAGTAAAATTAGAAATGAGGAGTTACAACTGACTCCACAGAAATACCAAGCATCATAAGAGACTACTTTGAACAACTATACACCAATAAAATGGACAATCTGGAAGAAATGGAAAAGGTACAGTCTTCCTAGACTGAACCAGGAAGAAACAGAAAATATGCACAGGGCTTATTTCTAGGTTTTCTATTCTGTTCCATTGATCTATATATTTCCATTTTTGTGCCAGTACCATACTGTTTTGATGACTGCAATGAGATATCACCTCATGCCAGTCAGAATGGCAATCATCAAAAAATCCACAAACAACAAACGCTGGAGAGGGTGTGGAGAGAAGGGAACCCTCCTGCACTGTTGGTGGGAATGTAAATTGGTACAGCCACTATGGAGATCAGTATAGAGATTCCTTAAAAAACTAAAAATAGAGCTACCATATGACTCGGCAAAAAACTGAAAATAGAGCTACCATATGACCCTGCAATCCCACTCCTGGGCATATATCCAGAGAAAAACATGGCCTGAAAAGATGCATGCACCCCAATGTTCACTGAAACACTGTTTGCAATAGCTAAGACATGGAAACAACCTAAATGTCCATCGACAGAGGAATGGATAAAGAAGATGTGGTACATATATACAATGGAATGTTACTCAGTCATTAAAAAGAACGAAATAAGGCCATTTGCAGCAGTATGGATGGACCTGCGGAGTGTCATATTGAATGAAGTATGTTAAAGAAGAAGAAATATCATATGACATCCTTTAAATGTGGAATCTAAGAAGAAATGATACAAATTAACTTATTTATGAAACAGGAAGAGACTCACAGACTTAGAAAATGAACTCATGGTTGCCAGGGGGAAGAGATAGTTAAAGACTTTTGGAAGGCCATGTACACACTGCTATATTTTAAATGGATAACCAACATAAACCTATTGTATAGCACATGGGATTCTGCTCAATGTCATGTGCCAGCCTGGATGGGAAGGTGGTTTGGGGGAGAATGGATACATGAGTATATACAGCTGAGTGCCTTCACTGTTCACCTAAAACTATCACAACATTGTTAATCGGCTATACCCCAATACAAAATGTTTTTGGTGTTAAAAAAATGAATTAAAAAATAAATAAAAAAATATAAATACCAGTAAGGAAAACAAAACAAAAACAAAAAAACTTCACAGTGTGATCTCCTCAGAGGTGAAAACTGTTTATTTCCCCTCTCACTCCCAAAGTAAAATAATATTCAGCTGGGAAATAATTATTTACATAAAACAATATATAGAAATTAAAACACTTTAATGTAATATAAACATTTACAGAATATAGGCTGATTTTTTTATCAGTACTCTTTGAGAACTCTTTAAAACTATATATCATCTACATTTATTATAGACTGTTTCATTTCCCACTTTCAGAACTAGAAATACAAAAATACACTGCAAATTATATTTAACAAATGAACAAAAAATCAATCTAAATTGCTTCACATATTTTCCTTGAAGAAAACCAAGAAACATAAACAAACATATAATAGCAATAAAAAATACCACCAACACTAACACAGCCCAAACAGAGGATGGATTCTATAATGCCTGATCTTCTAATTTAAAATTAATTTTCTCCCATAGGTAAATAATTCACTATCACAGCAACTGGATGAACAGGAGCAGAGACAGCCTCATTAAGAGAAATTACTTTATATGCAGGAAACATGTAATTTTTCTTTCACGTTAACAAATGAGGAAAAATAACTTGAGGACAAGGCATATTGAATACTTTTACTTCACTTGGCTTTTGTTAATGGTTAAAGTAACTGTCCACTTAGGGAAATTCAAATAACATGAATTTCATGAAACCAAACTCTTCAACTTATTTCTTTAATTTAACCTTAAAGGAACACAACTGAAAAGTTCAAAATCCAAGAGAAGACTTGTCCTAAAGCACTGACACCTTTGTCTTTTAACTGGCTTCCTTTTCTCTTATGTTCTTATTGTGTTCTTTTGTTCTTTCTCAGAGGCGAGGTTTTGGCTTGTCTGTCTCTTCTTTCAAGTCAATTTCAATTTTTACACACAAAAAACTAAGCTTTCTTGAACTGATACTGTACTCACCTCTCTTTTTCCTCATTAGATGTTTCTGTCTTTGTCTAAATTCCCCCATTCTATTTCTCCTAGGGTAAACAAAGCTAAAAGTTTAAAATCCAAGAATAGACTCATCCCAAAGCATTTCCTCTTCTGTCTTTTCTTCAACAGATTTCTTTTTCTCTTTCTTGTGCTTACGTTCTTCCTTCTCAGAGGGTACGCCATGGCTTTTTTTCTTTTTTCGATGCTTAAGCTTTCCTGAACTGACACTAAGTTTATCTCTGTCTCTTTTCCCTTCCCCAATGCCCTTGTCCTTGTCTAGATCTGTATCCCCATAACTCTTTTTTCTTTTATGCTTGGACTGCTCCTTCTCTGGCCTTTCTTCACCTTCCTCCATGTGCCTTCTTCTCTTCTGATGTTTACGCTTATGACCTGCTTGATGCTCATTGGTATCGTTTTCTGAGGAGAGGTGCTTATAAACTTCAGATTCTACACTGTATGTGCCAGAGTTATTGTCCTGCTGACTAAGGCTCAGGGGTACTGGCTTTTCTGGGAAACAGTCTCTGGTGGGTTGACAGTAGGTCACAGAGTCTAATCTCTGTTTGCTGTCATGAGTTGGTAAAGGATGAGGTAACTGGTTTTCTTCTGCCTGTGAAATACTGTATGATCCTGGATAAGTCTGGAAAGTCTCAAATGGGAGTATTTGCTCAAACATTCTAGGTCTGGGTCTGGAATCAACCATTTCTCTGTGCTTATGGGTTTCCACAGAGCTATCACTTATCTTTCTGAAAGAAGTCTTTGGCTCTAGTCCTCTGGCTTTCTGCACTTGGATATAATCCTCAAGTTCATCTTGGAAAGAGTTATATGTCCTCTTTGAATGAGCTGGTAACCAGTGATATAATTGGCTTTCCACTGGTGAAGTAGTATATGGTCGTTGGTAGGTCTGAGAAGTCTCAAATGAACATCTTCGTTCACACATTCTTGGTCTGGGTCCAGAATCAATTTCTCTGTACCCATGGGTTTCCACAGAGCTCTCTCCTACCTTTCTGAAACAAGTCTTTGGATGTAGTCCTCTGGCTTTCTGCACTTTGATATAATCTTCCAGTTCATCTTGAAAAGAGTCATATGTTTTCTTTGATTGAGCTGGTAAGCAATGAGGTAATTGGTTTTCCACTATTTGTGAAATATTATATGGTCCTGGATATGTCCAGAAAGTCTCACATGGGGATCTTTGTTCAAACATTCTATGTCTGGATCTGGAATCAACTGCTTCTCTGTACCCATGGGCTTCCAAAGAACCTTTTTCCATCTTTCTAAAACAAGTCTTTGGTTCTGATCCTCTGGCTTTCTCTACTTTGATGTAATCTGTACATTCATCTTGGCAAGAGTCTGGTGGCTTCCATGAATTCTTCACTAGATTGATAACAATGGATTCTCTGCAAATAAGACAGTAGAAAGTTCTTGTTACTAGATTATTTTATTTGGAATATTTGTTTTGCTTTCAAAAATACTAGTTTGAAAAAAACAAATACAACAGAGGCCCAAGCAAAATTTTAAAACCTACCTTAATTTAAAAGCTATAAATCATGACTTTGTATGCCAAAGAGAAGAAGCAGGGATAGTCACATATCTCCTAGGCACCTCACAATTTTTTTATACATAAAAAATTTTCAGACCTGGGATGAAAGGGAAGATAGGTACAAAGAAGCAGACATATCTGATATTGTTGTAGTACTTAAAAATGTAAGGCATGTTGGGATGTGTGGGAAAGGACCAATAATATTTAATGCCCTAAAGATGGTCTGATCTGCATGTCACATTGCTGTAAAAAGTTCTGATTATCAGTTCCTTGTATAGATCTATAAATGTGACAGCTATTTATTCTGGAACTCTGAAATTTTACAAAGAGTCTAAATGAAGGTTAATTTGGTTAGTTATACAATTTAGCTACCTAGTATTCAGACTCAATAATACAAATATTTTCTACCAGAAAGTTATATGAAAATCAACAAAATAAATATACAATACTTAAGTGCCCCTCTGTCCCACTACTTGACTTATCCAGTCCCCAACTGTCCAGTCAATCTTCTCCTCTTTCAAATAACAGAAAAAATTGGAATAAATGTGAACTAAGCTCCCACAATGTGCCAGGCAAGGGACCTTGCCCATATTTTTATACTTCATTATAACCACTGTATGTCAGAGCTGTCCAAAGTTACTTGGTAGAAAGATCTGGTATTCCAGTTTGGTTCTGTTTAACAGCAAGACCTTTTTTCTTAACCACTATACCTCACTGGAAGGATGACAAATGGATAGCTGAATCTCTGGAACTAGCCAACCTTCCAAGAATTATAGGGATTATTTGAATTATCTGGCTAGCCTGAGAATGATAGCATCTTTCCAAAGATGTCTGGTCAGGAGGGTTGCCCATGAGCCAGCTCTGTCAGCATACTATCATGGCTAGAGAACTCCCTGGGAGATGGAACTAGCATACAGTATGCTACAAATACTACCAACCATACCCAGGATCAACTCTTAGGGAAGTAAATGTCTCGGAAGTTTGTAAAATACACGTAAAGATACTTGACTGGTTTTTGGTATCATAGGAGCACTTTGGTAAGAAATTCTTACTTAAGTTGATGTTCACTTCTTTGCATATGAGACCGGAACATTTCTAAAGATGTAAAGGTGATATTACAAATACGACAATCGTAGGTTCTCATACTAAATGCTGGAAAAAACAGAGTTCAAGTTAAAAAGGTCAACAAGAATATACTTAGAATCACATAGCTGGACAGGAGTTTACTAGAAATCATTTACTTGAACTTTCCCAATTTAAAGATAAGGCCTAGAGAAGATAAATGATTTGGTTGAAGTCACAGAGTCAGTTAGTAACAGAGATAGCTTCTCAGATCCCACGTCTCTTAAAGTCCAAAATTCTTCACACTACACCACACTGCCACTCCAGCCTTGGTCTCTTTAAGAAACTGCTATCCACTTGTTTATTTTTGTTATGTGAAAGTACAACAGACACCTCAAATGTAGTATGCCTAATCTATCTTTGCCTCTTAATCCCTCAACCAACCTCTTTTTGTTTGCCCCAATTTTCTTTCTATCCAACTAAAACTTGAAACATCCCAAAATATTAAAGATGAATAAAGGCAAATGTTTACTCTCTTACCTGAAATCACTATAATGCATTAGTTTACCAAAAGTGATTTCCATAGACAGATTTTAGAGAGAGTTTCAGTGAGCCCCACTCTCAAGATAAATGCTGAAAGCAAAATTCTAAAATAAAACTATTAGTTACCACTTCATAAGAGTCAAGAACTATAGAATAGGTATACTAGTTACCTCTCTATTCTGACAGATAGAACTGGAAGCAGGTGATAGGTTACGTTTTATTTTCTTAAACTTATCATCCCTCCACTTTCTCTTTGGTCAGAAGATGCAAATTAATAAATTTCATTAAGCTAAATATAAAAACAATCTCACTCTAAAGAAGAGGATAAATTGATGGCTTCAGAGATTTCAGGGTCCAGCAAGGCTATCTTCTTTTAAATCAAACAGCAAATTGATCATTTAAAGAACACTAAATTAATCATTACTAGGTATATTGGCCATGTCCAAGCAAAGATTATTCATAGAAACAGGAAACTACTGTCAAAGGGAAAGAAAGAGTCTGACTTTGAAGCACATGAGGACTATGTTCACTATTGATGTATTCTCTGCGGTGGGCCCAGGAGAGCTCAGCCAGTTATGTCAAAGTCTGAATAAATGATTCTTCAAAACTATCATCTCCTTTATTATTGTGGGAGGGGAATTCAGGATGGGGAACACATGTAAATCCATGGCTGATTCATGTTAATGTATGGCAAAAACCACTACAATATTGTAAAGTAATTAGCCTCTAGCTAATAAAAATAAATGGAAAAAACAAAACAAAAAAAACTATCGTCTCTTCCTGTGCTGATTTTTGCACTTGCCAAGTCACTTCTGATTATAATTTGGTTTCCTATATTGCTGATACCAAAAAGAGGATAATCTAAATGATACTTTTTTTACAAACCTGGGAACTGAAATATCTATTTATGCTCCTACCATAAATCAATAACAGAAGACAGTGAATTAAACTGCAATATTTCACAGACTTCTCTGATAAGAATCAATTGGAGTGTGAGTTTAAAAATATAGATTTTTAACCCAGACCCCTTCCTCTGGAGAATATGATACGTTGGGACAGGGAATTTGTATTTTAACAATACCCCAGCTAATTATTGTCAAAGAATGGGTGGAAAAAACCTTAAAGGAGTGTCTTTCCAGTTCCTTCGTTATTTATCACCATCTTGCAATTTTGTTTTGGTTTGGGAAGTTCTTCATTTGAGGCTAATCACTTTTGAAGATTCTGGCCTTCTTGCAAAGCTGAGAACTGAATCCGGGACTCTGCATGCTTATAAAAACCCTTTTCAGAGATTATAGCTAATGTTATTTAACAGGTGGGAAAATTAAGGCTCAGATTCACTTGGACATGTATTCTAAGGGTGCCCAAGTTATACAAGATAAGCAGGACTCCTGGTTTCCCCTAGACTAGTGGTTCTTAATGTTAGTTACACATTAGAACCATGTGGAGAACTCTCAAAATATTCATGATACAGCTTAACATAAAACCAATTTAATCAGAATCTCTAGGGGTAGAACTAGGCTTTCTTACTTTTTGAAAGCATTCTAGTTGATTTTTCTGTGTAGGCACTGTTAAGCACCACTGCCTAAATGATCTCCAATGATTATAAACTTAGATTATTTTTCAGAGGTTTTACACATTTGTCTAGTGCTTATAGAGTATATATAATGTTCTTCTCAGTTCCTCCTTGGTTTCTTCACAAGTTATATCAGAAGATTATAATACAGGCAATATAGTAGTTTAGAGGAGCTGCAGGTCACATATGAAAGACCTAGAAGCAGTTCTGGAAAAGTATGGTCTGCTTCTATTACCTTAGCCCTTGTCTTTTTAACACATTGATATTCTTTTTCTAGGATACAGTCTTCTGAGAAAATAACATATGAAAATGGTGTAAACTCCTTCTGTGAAGACACAAAGCCTATGTATTTGTCTCAAGATCAAAATTCCTAGTCTAATCCTACTGAAACCTGCCTCTACAGTTTTTCATACTGTCCATTCTCCTATCTGAGTCTGTTCCTTGGGCCTGTCAAGTTTTGCTCCCCTCAGCCCTGCTAGGATCCCTTGTTTCTGACTTCACCCAGAAACTCAAGTTTCTTTGTATCTGGTAACTTTCAAAATCATCCATAACCTAACACATGTGGAGCAGACTTTTCTCTTAATCACAGTCCTATCTTATAACTCCCTGGACTAAGGTCTTTGATTTCAAAGGAGAGATTAGGGGAATGCATGTATTTATAATCTAATATTTTGGTTCTCATCACTTGGGGAGTTAAAAAAGAGAAAAAAAAACCACTAATGTGAGTCCCAGGGATTCTAATTTAATTGATTTGAGAGATGGCCTGGGCATTGGGATTTCTAAAAGATACCTGCATGATTTTAGTATGTAGTCGAGAATGAGAACCACTGGTCTAATATCTTAAATGCTGAAAATCAATTGAAAGCTACATGTAAGCAAAAACACAACTTAACATAGGATTTAGCTTATGAAGAAAAATAGAAAATGTACAACTTTTATGTTTTAAAATTACGACAGGGAAACAATATTTTAAAGAAAACTAACATTTGTTGAGGACCTATTCTGTCATGGGTATGGTATATACTGCTTCATTTCACCCTTTTTTCAATCCTGTGAAGTAGCCTTATTTTCACTTTATACCTGAGGAATATAAGGTGCAACTGGGCAAGTGACTCAAACATCTCTCCAAATCTATGTTTATCCCACTACACAACTCTGCTTCTCAATAAACAATGATCAAATATTGAGGAAAATATATATATTCATTGGAGCATAAAGCACTGAGAAATAGATTTCAGAATAAAATAAAATCCCTATCTCAAGGGGCCAGTTAAGAGACTATAATGCAACTGTCAATGAATAGTAAAGCCTATGAGAAATCAGAGCGAGAGCAATGAGGGAAGTTGCGATGGACTTCAGAGGAAAAGGATTTGAATTATAAAGAAAGCAGGTAGGGCATTCCAGGGGATGAAAATAATATCAGGTATGGAAGAGACAGAAATGAGTATGGTGTGCTGAATTCAAATAATCTGTTCAACAAACACTAAACACCTCTGTGGCACCAAGTATCATGCTAGATGCTAAGAGTACAAGATGAACAAAATGTGCAGGTTGCTCACAAATTCAAATGAGAAACAGATACATGAACAGAGGATTTCAATCTCATTTCATAAAAGATAAGGGAAGTATGCTTAAGAGGATAGAATTCAAGGAAGCAGACACACTCAGTATAACATGGGAGTCTGAAGAGTGCTACTGAAAGAGATGAGGCCTTAGTTAAATTTGGAAAAATAGTTAATGGTGAAAGGAGTTGAAAAGAGCATAGAAGTATTTATAGGAACTTTTTGAAATTTGGAATTGTAGAATAAAATATAAGGGGACAGCATGGGAGAGACAAAAAGGTGTCAGATCAGAGACTTCTATATTATGCTAAGGAGTCTAGCAGGTGGTACAGTGGTAAAGAACCTGATTGCCAATGCAGGAGATATAAGAGACATGGGTTTTGGTCCCTGGGTTGGGCACATCCCCTGGAGTAGGAAATGGCAACCCATTCCAGTATTCTTGCCTGGAAGATTCCATGGACAGAGAAGCCTGGCGGGCTGTAGTTCATTGGGTCGCAAAGAGTTGGAAATGACTGAGCAAGAGCACACAGAGCACAAGGAATCTAGACTTTTTATTCTGTGGGCTGGGAAACCATCAGGTGGTTTAAGCAGTATGTAACATGGTCAATTGTGTGTTTTAGAGAAATCTCTTCTCTAACTGCAGTATGGAAGGTAATTTTGAGAGGAGCAAGCCTGGAAGTAAGGAGACCACAGTTACATAAATATACCAGACAGGGCAAGAGATAAGGAGGCATGGGCTAGAAAGGTCACAGTAGGGACTGACAGGAGCAGAGATATTGGTGAAATATTTACCATTAAATCTAACAAAATTTAATGACTGATTAAATATGGGAGATAAAGGAGGAGGAATCTAGAGAGTTCTAAAATAACTCAGCATAGTTTGATGACTGAGTGGGTGGTGATCCAAACTGAATTGGAATTTCATAAGGAATACTGTTTAAGGATATGAGAGAATAATCAATGGTGAGTTTGAATTTGGACACACAGAGTCTGCTATATCTCTGAGATTTCCATATAAAGGTGTCCAACAGGCAGTTAGATATGGGAATTTGAAAGGGAAAGGATAGCTTAGAGTAATTTTGGATACATTTGAGGATAAAGGGTAGTTAAGAGAGTGGATGAGATCTCTTGAGGACAATGTATGGGTGGGCACAGGAATAGCAACATAATGCTAAAAACCCTGGATAGTGTCACTCTTTAAATTAGATGGTAGAGGGGGGGGGGGTCCATGAAAATTCAAGAAGTAAAGGACAGAGTTGCAAGGATGAACAGGAGAAAGCGATGTCAAAGGAGCTAAGGAAATAGAGATTTTTAAAGAGGAATGTTTAGTGAATTAAGCAAAGATGTCTATTGAATTTAGACATTTAGAAGTCACAACAACCCTGCAAAGAACAGCTTTAGTGAAATAGTAGAGTGGTGGTGTAGAGGGCTGGGGGGATGTGTAACAAATGGCAGTGAGTTGAGGAGTGAATATCAGTGAGGACAATAAGAGCATATCTGAAAAATAAGAACACAACAACAAAAACCTTGGCTAAGAAAACAAGGGGAAAGTATCATAGTGAAAGGGAAACTCAAAGGATTATTTGGTTAGGGTAAGATGCTTGGTATCCACATGTGATGGTTACATTTTTCTTGATGGCATAAGGAATAAGCTTGTCTGAAGGATGTGAGGAGGGGGAGTGTTGAATAGTAGAATAGAGTGTTGGAAGGTGGTGTAGGTTAAAGAATCACTGCTGAAAGGAAACTGAAGGAAAAGGAAAAGTACTAAATAAGACTAAAAGGTCATAGAGATTGGATACTAAGACTCTATAGAGGTACCCAATCTCTAGCCTTATATAATTTTCCATAGCATCAGCATTAAGTATTCTGAATGTAAAAGTAGAAAAGGTAGACTGTGGAATTGATCCTAGGTTGAAATCTTGCTACTAGGTAGTAAGAGAATAACAATGAGGTATAAGTAAAGCCTTCTAGAAGGTGGTTACAGCATTAAAGTGATGGTAGTGAAAATGCAATGGAAGGGTACAGGTAGGAGAAACAGTTCTAAGAAGACTTGATAAGACTGTGGATGGATAGGATATAGGGGAATTTAGTCAAAGATGCCTTCAAAGATTCAAGTGTAGGTGACTAAAAAATAGTGCTACTACTGGCAAAAACAAAAAACTTGATAAATTCAAGATGGTTTTAGGGAAGATTATTAATTCAATGTTAGGTACTTTGAGTTACAGGTGAAGGTGAGACAATAAGTACAATAATGGGGCTATAAATTAATAAAATAAAACAAATGCAATAAATAAAAAATACATACATACTTTAGCTCCATATCATTATGGTAGCCATTCCTGTGCTAATAAGATCTGGGCTGGATGAAGGACATGAAGAGAGCAGTAAGAATGATGAAGAAACAGAGAAAGATATTAGATAGAGTAGAAACATATATAAACAATAGCAGATAAAAAAGAAGGCAAAGACAGCAAGAAGGGAGAAAACAGGTGAAGAGTAAAAATAATTAAAGTGGCACATGTTAAACTGCTTTTGTCTTACTGCTTGCTCACTTATAATATATGGGTTTCTGCTGTTGCTGTTCTTTGAAATTCTCATCGGCTAATTTAAATTCTCCAGCTAGTTTTTTAAATTTTTTTAAAAAATTGGAATATAATTGCTCTACAGTATTATGTTAGTTTCTGCTGTACAACAGCGCTCCAGCTATTTTTTTAATTTTCAATGTTTACTGTAATCAAAATTAAATAGTCAAGTCAGGGTTGAAAATCTTTTGAGCTTCCAGTTTCAGAGGCTAATGTAAAATGACTTCAATGACTGGATTAAATTATGCTGATGATCAGCAGCCCCCCTCCCTGGCCAGATGAAAATTTCACCAAAATCCTCTTTCTCTCATTCTAATAATCTTGCAACTTCAAAGTCTAAAATAACCCTCCTTTCAGAAGTGACCAGAGTACCACATATCTCTCAGAGCTGACATATATTTCAGTTCCAATTTACCCAATGCCACTTAACTAGAAGCCACTTATTTCAGAGAACCCTCTGCATAGCAACAGGAAAAATAACCTATCAAGTCTGTTGTATCTTCCATGACTTTCAGGAGCCATACCACTTCTATTTCTACATTTGTCTAAATTGACATTCTTTAAAATTCTAGATAAAAACACAGACTTCTATGTAACTTTTGGTGAGATGTTGAATCACAATAAGCAGCAAACTTAATAATACAAACACATGGTTAGCATCCAATAAATAAAGGTTAATAGTTCATTGTTTCATATATTAAACTAATCTCTATTGAGGTAGGCCTACTCTGTGCCAGTGTCTATCTCTAGGAATGGAAATACAGATGAGTTACATGAAATCCCCTTCCTCAAAAATCTTACATTCTAATGGGAGATAAAGACACAGGAAAAGATAATTAGATATGCAGGTTAAGGAAGCAGAGAAGACAAGCCTTGAAGGAAGTAAAAAGACTTACAAGGAAGTATCATGTTAAAGTATGAGTAAGAGTTGGTCAAGAGAAGAGGGACATGAAGATGTTCCAGGCAAAATGGCAGCATGAAGGGCACAGAGACAAGAAATAGGGTAATCGTTTCTGGAAACTAAAAGCATTTTGCAGGTTCTGACCCACATGGATCATAGCAGGAAGTAGCAGGGAATAAGCCTGGAGGAGGAAGAGAGGACAAGATGGTAGAGAACTATGAAGTTCTCTATTTTTATCCTTATATTTTTATCCTTAGAAAATAGAAAAATAAGGATTTTTAAGCAGGGAAGTGACATAGAAAGATACGCACTTTAGGTGAAACACTCCAGTGGTTAAATTGAGGGTGGATTTGGGGAGACAAAACTGATGGAAGGAGAATAGTTAGGAGGTTGTGTCAATATTCTTGAACAATGATTCTCAAAATTTATTGTGAGTACAAACCACCCAGGGATCTTGTTAAAATGCATAAAATGCAGATTCAGATTCAGTAGGTCTGCAGTGAAGCCTGAGATTCTTTTTTCTAAGAGGCTCTGAAGTGGTGCTGATGATGCTGCCTACAAACCACACTTTGAATAGCAAAGCTCTAGAAAAGATATTGAGGGCTTAAACTAGTATCAGAAAAGCAGAGCAGAAGATAAGGTAACAGTGATATTCAGGAGGTTAAACAGTCATGGCTTGGTGCTTCATTAGATACAGAAAATGAAGTAGATGGTGTTGGGGGATTTAAAGTTAACTACAGGTTTCTACTTGGAATGACTGAGTGGATTTGAAATGGCTATGAGGTATCCAGGTGAAGAGGTAGCTTCTCTTTGGGTATATGAGTCTAAAGCTTTACAGAAAGGTCATAAGCATATAGATGAGATAAGAAATCAAGGGAATGGATTAGATTATTTTACAGATTAAGGTCAAGAATGGAATCACGGGAATGCCTACATTTAGGCAATAATTTTTTTAAATTAATTAATTTTTAAAATTTATTTATTTTAATTAGAGTCTAATTACTTTACAATATTGTAGTGGTTTTTGCCATACATTGACATGTAGGCAATACATTTTAAAAAGATCCCCCAAATAAAACAGAAAAGAAAGAGAGACACAAGAAAAGAACACAAGCATAAAGAGTTACATATAACAGAATAGAGCTTAAAAGAGGGAGTAATGAACATTTTCACATGAAGCAGAAAAGTCTAGTAAGGAAAGAACTGAAAAATAATAGTGAGCAGAGGAAAAGAAGTGGGTGGAAGAGAGAATATGAAAAGGGAATAAAATACACTAGTAGTGAGAAGGTGCCTGTGGGGGAAAAATGAAAAAAAAAATATGGTTAGATGAGCAAGTGGATCACTCCAGTCAGGATCAGAATCTTTATTGTGCTGAAATTCTTGCCACTCTTCCTAAGTTCCTTTGTTCATTCTCTCTCCTTCCCACTTCTAACAATGCAAATCATACATTTCCTTTAAAAAGATTTTTTGAGTCATTTTATTTCACTCCTCTGGTTATCAAAAATATGTACACAAAAATCCATGTCTGCAGCCTCCTGCAATGAAGTAGTTTATACACTTGCCCTTATCAGGGAAAGTGGTATATCTTCATTTGTATTCCCAGGAATGACTAGTCTAGCACCCGAGAGAAACTTAAGCCATACTTAGTGACTGAATGAAATAACTATATAATACTAATTTAAAATACTTTCTGTAAGTACCTATAATATAACATGAAACCATGGTAATTCCTATATTTGATCAGTAAGAGTCATCTAAACCTTTCTGGGTCTCATTTTCCAGAAAACCACAGACAGACCTATATGGACTCAAAAGTCCTTACTTACTGAAAATTCTATGATCCCATGAGTATTATCAACCTCTTATTCAATAAGAGTAAAATGGTATATATATAAGCCAGTATGTTTTATAAACGATAAACTTCCTAAGAAAGAAATTTGGGATATTCTTACTGTTTACCATTTGCATCTGATTTTGCAGGAAGAGGTTTCTCTCTTATCTTGTCTACAAACTTCTTCCTAGCTTCATTTCTTTTGTGTTTTTTCCCAACATAATGTTGTTGGGCCATTAATGGACTATTAAAGGAAGCAGGACAGAGCTTGCAATACTTGTTTGGATTATTCAAATCCAAAGCACTGCTGGAAGAGGAAGGCATAATCTTGTCTTTAATCCCACCTGGAGGAGGCTTGAAAGCAAGGGGCTTCAGAAAAGTTGACTCTGCAGAAGTAGTAATAGGCACACCTGCTGAAACAGTCATAATGAAAAGTGATCTACATGTTTTCATTATAAAGTATCAGAGAAAGTTAGAGTTCTTTAAAAACCTACTATCTCTGGACTTTTTCCACACAGCACTGTTGGATAAAGGTATTTAGGCTAAAAATAATTGAATACAAGTCTGTCACCAAGTGTTTCCAACAAAGATACAGGAAGCAATATTCAGCAATCAATGAAGGCATGAGAGCTGTATTAGGATGGCTGTTGAAATTAGTGAGAGTAAAAGAAATGGGTACCAACTTCTAAGTTGATGTCTTTCTTGAGTAGCATAGTAAGTAGATCATCTATTCAGTGGTGTCTGTATCAAAATACAGTTTATGCAGTTGTTCAAGGCTATAAAATGATATGTTCCCACAATTACAGTTATTTTAGAGCTCTTTCATGTAGTCTCCTTTCTGAGCCCAAATTTATGAATTTGGGGGACTAAAGATAAGGCTTTACAAGACACTTTCTTTTGTGTGGTACACTGATTCTGTCCCTCTTGACTGACAGGCAGAAAAACAAATATACAAAAATCAGAGAGACTAGGATAAATTTAAAAGTAATTCATTTCATTTATAAGAAAACAATATGTTTTAATGCTGATGCGGCCTAGCTATGAGATGGAAATTAATGTAGGTAAAATTGTGATGCCAGGCATGCTTTATTCCTAAAATGTTGAAGCTAATGAGAATATAGTAAATTATTTACTCCAGGGGATTAATCATTATTTTTTGTTCTAGCACACAACATTTAAAAAATACAGGCTGGAGCATACTCTGCTACTTCAGGCTGAAAGTGAGACCTGTGGGTCAGTTCTCTCATGTGCTGGTGGCCCAAAATCACTGGAAGGAGGACAGTGCAATATAGTTCTCTGGATCTCTGGATCTAACATAAAGTAAGTTTTCAATAACTGCTGATTGATATAGCTAATGGTACTTTTTCTTTATATTCATAGGAAGAAAGGAATGAGCTATCAGGGTAGAAGAAGATTCCATACCACTTTTTTTGTCTACAGTTAAAGTCAGAAAATGCTGCAACATAACTATATTATGGTGAAGACATTGGTCTGAACACACATTATGAGATAATGTTTTGTAAAGTACTAAAGCAAAAAAAAAAGAATGAGACAGATGTCAAGGGGAAGAAGTAAGAAGAAACTATGACTTAATAATTTGATTAGAAACTGGAGAGCTCAGGTTGCTTATTGTTGTTTCATTATAGCAAACATGTTTTTATTTGGATTTAACAGACTGAAAAGGAGAGGTCACAACATTTCTTAAAATTTAGCTAGCAATCATGATCTCTATATTAAATGACAAGGGCACAGAAAGAGATTAACTGAGCAGAAGAACCAAATTATTGTGGCAGAGTAAAATTCTCTCCAATAAAAAATGGATAGCAGAGATGGGAAAAAAAATATAGAAAGACTCTGTACTGAAGCTAAAGAGGTGAATGTCATCTTACCCGTTGCTGGCTGAAAGCTTGATGGAGATACCTGATCACGCTCCTCCATTAATTGCTTCAGTTTTTTAGAATGGACTTTCCCCACATAGTGAGACTGAGCAACAACTGAGGAGCTAAAAACCATGTGGCAGAGACCACAAAATTTATTTCTGTCCACTACTTCACTTTTATGCTCCTGAAATAAGCACAATCTTGTTAGAAAGATTCAATAACTAAGTTTTGAATTACAATACCAACATAGGCCACTCACCTGAAAATTCCTAACATCCATCTTCATTTTCTTACCAGGCACTTCATTTTGTTCCCCATGCATTTGAAAATAAAACCTAACATTTTGAGCATGTTTTTCACTCTGTAAAAGGATACAATATGACTTTGTTTATTCAACAACAGAGGCACCTCAAATTTACACCTCTTTGAATCTGAGGACAGCACTTGTGAGTTGGAATATATTTAGTGTGTACCCAGTTTATGAAAAGGTTCCGCATGCTTTCAAAGCTCTAAATCTCAGTTAAAATGAAAATAAAACTACAATTTAGAGACCAATAACTTAGTTTTTTTACAGAAACTCCTAGTTTTTGTTTAATATAAAATTTTTCTTCTTCCTTAGTTACACATCTTAGGCAATATACCCAGCTAAAAGATTGCATATTCCAGCCTCCCTTTCAGCAAGATGTAACCACGTGACTATATTCTAGCCAATAAGATGTAATTTGAAATGTTGGGTAGAACTTCTGGAAGTCTCCTAACAGAATGGGGGATGAACTCGTCTCATCTTCTCTCCTGCTTATGGAATTAAGATGTAAAGTTAATCTGGGACAATGGGGGCTCTTGAGGACAGAGGCTAGTTCATCAGAGTAGAAAGACAGAAAATGCCTAGATCTCTGAAAGTGTTATGAAGCTGTTACATCAGCCCTGTATTGCTTACCTCTCAAATTCTTTTATGTGAGGAAATTAACCTTTCTAGGTTAAGCATATTAAACAAAAGTCTCTGAATATATATATAACAAGATACATAATAACTAAAATGTTGATGTCAATAGAAGGGACACTAATATGACATAGCACATACTGTGAAGTAATTACTCTATCAACAGCATTTTAAATTGTGAAGTGTGTGCAGGAATATAGCTGAAGTATATACCCACTGCCCAGTTTTAATAGATTTTAACATTTTTCTCTATTTCTTTCAGATCTCCTTTTCAAAAGAGGTAAAATTTTACACAAGAAATCCTAGCTCCTCATTTCAACAATTGCTCCCTCCTTGGTCTCTCCCCAGTAGGTAACTACTATCTTAAAGTTGTTTTGTATCATTTCCTCTATTCTTTTACTAGATATGCATGTACCTATAAACAGTAATATGTACTATTGTCATTTAAATTTTTTATGAAAATGGAATCAGCCTGTTCCTATCCTTTAAACTTTTTATAACTTAATATTACATAAGATTTGCCCATATTGATACATATGGCTCTTGTTCATTCACATTACATGCTGCATAATATTCTATTCCATATGCTACCCATCAAATCCCCTAATGAAGGCAGTTATGTTTCTGATTATTTTCTTATTACAAACATCTCACTGAACATATGTAAATGTATCTCCTAATATAATGGCCAAGAGTTTATTTTTTTTTTAGTTTCTTTAAAGTAGATACATAGATATGGACTATCTGGCTTATATGAGGGTTTTCAGCTTTAATGGGTACTATAAAATTTATCTCCAAAGATGCTGAAGCAGTTGAAACTCCAAATGTAGCACGTATGAGTATTTTTGACTTCCTATATTTTCTTAAGTGTTAAGTGCTATTAGATTTTAATTTTTGCGAGTATGATGGTTTTGATAAGATAGTTCATTATCATTTTAACCTGAATTTCCCATATGATCACCTCTGAAGTTAAGTATCTCTACTCTAGCCTGTTCATATCATTTTCCCATTTTTCTATTGGGTTGTTTCTTCTTCTGATATATAGTTCTTTATACAATCCAGATACTAATCCTTTGTTAGTTATTGGAATATAAATACCATTCAATCTATGGCTTGTCTTTTAACTTTATGATGAGTTTTCTGTCATATAAATTTCCCCTATCAAGTATCATGATATATTTTACAGCTACAGTAATAAGGTGAAATTATTTTAGACACAGGCAAACAAAGTAATACAATAAAACATAATAAGAGAATGAAGTATATATGAAAAATAGCTTATGATAGAGATGCCACTACAAATCAGTGGGGCAAAAATGAATTGTTAAATAAATAGTGCTGGAACACCCACTCTCTGTATGGAAAACAATGTTATCACCTTGCATATATGAAAATAAATACCAGATGAATCACACACATTAACCCAAGAAATAAAACTTTTAACAGTATTAGAAAAGAATAGAGGGAAATATTTATCTGGCAAAAATACAGAGAATGGTTTCTTAAACATGTATAAACATAAATACAAAAGGAAATATTAATAAGTGCAACCTCATTAAAATTCCAAATTTTTGCAGTAATGTCCTATATTACATGCATAATAAATAAAATGCTGAGATAGTCTGACAATATTAACCAAGCTGTCTATTAAAGAGAAAAAAATCACCTTTACAATTAAGATATTTGTAAGGGAGTGCTTTCAAATATAGTTTGAAAGTCATGCATAATTTGAGTTGGTTATTTAACAAGCTTAAGCACTAAACTTATACATGGCGTTGGAATTTAAATAAAAAATATGCTACAACATTATAAAACATAATGCTTTATAGTCATTAAACTATTACAGAAAAGTAAAAAGATGTAATGATAGGACAAAGTGTTCAGAATATGTTCTTATATGAAAAAGCAAGGGCAAAACAACATATACAATTCTCTTTTGTAAAAATGTATGTGTGTTTAGAAAGCATACTGGAATCATATAAGCTAAAGAGAAGTTAATTAAATGATGCTTACCCACAAGTGACAGACTTATGATTGATTCACATTTTCTCATAATTTTGTACATTTTCTATACTGAATAGTAAGTACTTCATAAGTCTATAAAAGCAATTTTTCAAATTTAAATTCAAATGGTTCCAACCATGGTTATCATATAGCTCCTTGATTATGTGTTTCACTTTATTAACTCTTTGAGCTTTGGGGTGCCAGGATATGCTAGGCACACTCAAATGTTTGATTTCATTTAATTTTCACAAGAATAGTAAGAGAGATTTTAGCTTTAATTTTGCAGCCTGAAGAAACATGCTCAGAGAGGTAAAGTGACTTGGCCAGGGTTACACAACAATGGCTTGAACCTAGTTGAAGTGGTTTACTCACTAAGTCATGTCTGACTCTTGCGAACTGATGGACTGTAGCTTGCCATGTTCCTCTGTTCATGGGATTCTCCAGGCAAGAATACTGGAGTGGGTTGCCATTTCTTTCTCCAGGGGATTTTGCCAACCCAGGAATCATACCCAGGTGTCCTGAATTGCAGGCAGATTCTTTACCAACTGAGTGAACCTAAGTCCTCTCAATCCACAGCCAACACAATTTCACCATCTATAATTATAGTATTAATAGCTGAATACAAATCAACATAAGGACCGAGATATAATTGCCAATAAGATTAGTAATGGGCAAAACAAAATCAGGTGTTTCTAGTTTTTAAAGTAGAACTGGCATAATATTTTAAGATATTATAAAAGTATCTAGTACTTTTTTAATAGATACCACATATGAACAAAGTCCAATAGTTGATAACATGATGTAGAAATGGGAGACAACACTAAATGAAAGGACAACACATATCTAGTGTGTGAAATAGAAATGAAATCAGAGGTGATATGAAATGAATGAGGATGAAATCAAAGGAGATATGAAATCAGAGGAGATCGTCTTTAAGCTTAGTAATGCCAAGATGGTTAATCACTATTCCTCTGGGTTTCAGCTTTCTAATCAATAAACTAAAGAACTAAGAAAATTAAATATTCCTTCTTTTAGCTCTAGAAGTCTATGGTACTGGGCTTAAAAATATGTAGTTAAATCAAGTGCAAGACTAGTTCATTTTGTTTTTATCCTTTATTTACTGTAAAGGAAAATTCTGGAGTTCAATGAGATTCCTTGATTCACACTAATAGTCTCCTATTCAAGCGTTATAAAACTTTCCTTATATTTACTACAAGGACATGAAGCATACAGCGACTTGATGGATAGAAAGGGAGGCAGAAAGATGTGAAGAAAAGAAACTATGCTTTGGAGTCAAAAGAGACTGAGGCTCCCAAATTTCCCAAACTTAAGCTGGTAAATTACTGTTCCTTACTGAGCCAGGCTCCTCATCTATCAGAGGGAAATAATACACAGGATTCTCATAAGTATCAAAACCAGATAACATATGAACATATCTGCTATATTTAAAAATCTATTTTATACTCCATTTCCATTGTTTTTAACCTACCTCATAATGTGAAATCCTTTGTGATTCAAACTGAAGCACCACTCCACACACATTACAAAATTTATCTGCAAAAAGTTCAGTCTTTTCCTGTTCATTCCAAGTCATATCTATGAATAAAATAAAGGGAAGTGAGACATATATCACATCAATGAATAGTTAGAATACATATTGTTTCATATACCACTTCAAATCTGAGTGCTTGTGAGGTCACAGTAAAAGCATTTTGCTTATTGAGTATGCCTCTAATGTAGGATACAGCAAGAGCTATTTAATATAAGTCTTGTGTGATTTTTAGGTAACATTGGAGCCATAGCTCCAGATAAGTTTTATAACAAAGCCTTTTTAACGATTACATGGATGCTTGTGCATGCATGCTCAATCAGTCATGTCTGACTCTTTGTGACCCCCATGGACTGTAGCCCACAGCCTCCTCTGTCCATGGAATTTTCCAGGCAAGAATACTGGAGTGGGTTGCCATTTCCTACTTCAGAGGATCTTCCTGACCCAGAAGCCGAACCCTGTCTTCTGCATCTCGTGCATTGGCAGGCAGATTTTTCTTTATCATTGTGCCACACGCAAAACACAAAATTCCAAGGGTTGGTTTCTTTTGGTGCCCCAAATCATTTTATGAAGCTCACGAAGTTACTGGTACCCCCATAACTTCCCTGGTGGCTCAGTGGTAAAGAATCCGTTTGTCAATGCAGGAAGCAGGGGTTTGATCCCTGGGTCGGGAAGATCCCCTGGAAAGGGAAATGGCAACCCACTCCAGTATTCTTGCATGGAAAATCCCATGGACAGAGGAGCCTGGTGGGCTACAGTCCATGGGGTCGCAAAGACTTGAAAAAGTTGGACAAAACTGAGCAACTGAGCACTCACATACATAATCCTTAAAAAGGCATTGTTATAATACTGTCACTTATCTGGAGCTATGGCTCCAATATTATTATATTTCCCTGGTGGCTCATACGGTAAAGAATCTGCCTGCAATGTAGGAGACCGGGTTTGATCCTTGGGTTGGGAAGATCCCCTGGAGAAGGGAACAGCAACCCACTCCAGTATTCTTGACTGGAGAATTCCATGGACAGAGGAGCCTGGTGGGGTAGAGTCCATGGGACCGCAAAGAGTCAGACACAACTGAGCAACTAACACAAAAATCACACGGAACCACAAAAAACTTTGTCTATAGTAGGCAAACATTTTCCACTGTTATACAAACACTGGCACACTCATCTGGCCATACAAGTCTCACACAAGCCCCCAAAGTATTATTAATAACATCCACAAATTATGCTACATTTTTCACTATAATAACACAAGTCAAAAATTTCTGAATTTACACTTGAGGTCCACACTTCAGTCTAAGCTGCCTAACAGCTGCAGTGTATTCTGCCAAAATTTATTAGTGTATCTACAAGGTATAAATCACAAAACATCAAAATTTTGCTTGCTATTTGGCTATTTAAGCGAATAAGCTAATACTACACATACTTTCATGGTGAAATGCCCATGACATATCAAATGAACAAAAAATTGAAGAACAATAAATATAATATATCCATTTCCAACACTAACAAAAATTAAATATACATCACCTATAAATATGTGGAAAGATATAAATTAAATTTAAAAATGATTAGCTTTGGGAAGCAGGGCCAGAAAAGGATGAAAGGGAGAAAATTTAAAATTTTAATTTCTGTACAACTGTTTTAATTTTTGCAAGAAGTCTGTAGGACTTTCTATTTAAAAACCTTTAAAAGTATTTATTTTAGAAGTTATGTTGGATATCTTCAGCTGAGCTTTAGTTTTTAGTACCACTGTATGGACTAAAAAGGCTTTTTTAAATTGCATGTTCAAGATAATAATAATTGTAACAAGGAACATGTCAAAAACAAGTTGAACAGTTATAAATTTATGCCTATAATGTATAGTATCCCCTCTGAATTATTTTTAGGTTGTTCTAAAATATATCATTTCTCTAATTTTGATTGTAAAGTTAGCAAGGTAAACAGTTTAACTAAAATATATTTCAGGACTTCCCTTAACTACTATATGCAATGAGCACAGCATAAGATCTTGAACTTCCTATTAAAATTTGTAATAATAAGCAAATATTATCATTTGGTGGCAATATAACTTGCTACAGAGGGAAAGTTTCCATTAAGAAGGCAAAAAGAAACTACTGATTTAGAGGTTCAAGAATTCCTAAGACTTAACATTCACTTTTTTCCTATATCAAACTTTAATTCCAGATTTCCCTACTTCTAATAGTCAAAGTTTGATACTGACAGTCAAGTTGGGAAATATGAAGGCTGAGTTTTTTAAACACAGTTTTTCATTATTGGTGACCCAGATCATTTCCACGAAGGCCATGAAATTATTGGTACCCCTACAACTTTTCCTTTAGAATGGTATTGCCGAAACTTACTGCCTTTGACTCATTTTCTCAAACAAGTTCTTGGTCTGTATTTCTTTATTAAATGGTATGATATTCCAGACTCAAAATCTCAGCCATTATTCACCACAGCAAACCACTGTTTCTTGTCCATTCTAGCTTATAATGTTATTTGATATTCATCTCTTCCTTTAAATTTCCCATAACACTACCCGAGTTCAGGCCCTCAATGTCTTGCGCATCATTAAGATTTATTGTTATTTACTGAGGTTAGTTTCAAAATACTATGGTACACATTTTGGAAAGAGATAAGGAAAAAAAAAGAATACTTATTGAAGGCTTTTGTGTCTGTGTAAACAAGATAATAGCTTACTCTTTTAGTCCTTAAAACAAATCTGCGAGGTAAGTGTTGTTTCCCAAATTCTGAAGGTTAGGAAATTAGGATTCACTGAAATCAAGAAAACTTATCACATGTGTTATTCCGTGAAGTTGGAACTTAAACTTTTTATCTTGACCTTTTCCATTATATATACATAACTGTCCTACATGTTGGAAATGATGCATCAAATGAGTATTCATTTCAAGAAATTTACAGTTTATCAGGGAAGATGTGTATAGAAAGAACTATGATCCAAAGATCAAAATGTCATAAGTGATATAAGACATAAGGTACAATGTATTCCTGCTGAGAAGTTTGGGGAAAGCTTTCTAGAGGAAAATAAGTTTTGAACTGAGCTTTAAACAATGTATAACATTCAGATAGAAGAGTGGAATAAAGGTATCGGGGGGGGGGGTCAAGAATATGATTTCATATTTCAAATATTTTGTTGTTCAGTTGCTCAGTCAGGTCCAACTCTGTGACCCTGTGGACTTCAGCCCACCAGGCTTCCGTGTCCTTCACTATCTCCCAGAGATTGCGCAAAATCATGTCCATTGAGTCAGTGATGCCATCCAACAATCTTATCCTCTACTGCTCCCTTCTCCTGCCCTCAATCTTTCCCAACATCATCGCATCAGGTGGTCAAACTATTGGAGCTTCAGCATCAGTCCTGCCAATGAATATTCAGGGTTGATTTCATTTAGGGTTGACTGGTTTGATCTCCTGGCTGTCCAAGGGACTCTCGAGTCTTCTCCATACCACAGTTCGAAAGCATCAATTCTTTGGCTTTCAGCCTTCTTTATGGTCCAACTCTCACATCTAAACATGACTATAGAGAAAACATAGCTTGGACTAGACGAACCTTTGTCGGCAGAGTGATGTCTCTGCCTTTTAATAAGCTCTCTAGGTTTGTCACAGCTTTTCTTCCAAGGAGTCTTTTACTTTCATGGCTTCAGTTACCATCCATAGTGATTTTGAAGCTCAAGAAAATAAAATCTGTCACTGTTTCCATTTTTCCCCATCTATTTGCTATTAAGTAATGGGACTGGATGCCATGATCTTCATTTTGTTGAATGTTGAGTTTATGCCAGCTTTCTCAGTCTCCTCTTTGACCCTCATCAAGAGGCTCTTTAGTTCCTCTTAGCTTTCTGCCATTAAGGTGGTGTCATTAGCATATCTGAGGTTATTGATATTTCTTCTGCCAATCTTGATTCCACCTTGAGCTTCATCCAGCCCAGAGTTTCTCATGATGTACTCTGCATATAAGTTAAATAAGCAGGGTGACAAAATACAGCCTTGACATACTCCTTTCCCATTTTGGAACCAGTCCTTCATTTCATGTCTGGTTCTAACTATTGCTTCTTGACCTGCATACTGGTTTCTCAGGAGGCAGGTAAGGTGGTCTGGTATGCCCATCTCTTTCACATTTTCCAGTTTGTTGTGATCCACACAGTCAAAGGCTTTCATGTAGTCAATAAAGCAGATGTTTTTCTGGAATCCCTTTGCTATTTCCATTATCCAACAGATGTTAGCAATTTGATCTCTGGTCACTCTGCCTTTTCTAAATTCAGCTTGTATATCTGGAAGTTCCAGCTCATGTACTATTGAAGCCCACCTTGAAGGATTTTGAGCATTACCTTGCTAGCATGTGAAATGAGTGCAATTGTGTGGTAATTTGGACATTATTTGAAATATTTTAGATGTTTCAAATCCTAAAAGATGATGCTATTAAAGTAATGCAATACTCAATATGCCAGCAAATTTGGAAAACTCAGCAGTGGCCACAGGACTGGAAAAGGTCAGTTTTCATTCTAATCTCAAAGAACGTCAATGCCAAAGAATGTTCAAACTACTGCACAACTGGGCTCATTTCAGATGCTAGCAAGGTAATGCTCAAACTCCTTCAAGCTAGGCTTCAATAGTACGTGAATCAAGAAACTGAAGATGTATAAGCTAGATTTAGAAAAAGCAGAGGAACCAGAGATCATATGGCCAACATCTGCTGGATCATAGAAAAAGGAAGGGAATTCCAGAAAAACATCTGCTTCTGCTTCATTGACTACTTGAAAGACTTTGACTGTGTGGATCACAACAAATTGTAGAAAATTCTGAAAGAGATGGGCATAGCAGACCACCTTACCTGCCTCCTGTGAAACATGTATGCAGGTCAAGAAGCAACAGTTAGGACTGGACATGGAACAATGGACTGGTCCCAAATAGGGAAAGGAGTACTTGAAGGTTGTATTTTGTCACTCTGCTTACTTAACTTATATGCAGTGTACACAATGTGAAATTCTGGGCTGGATGAAGCTCAAGCTGTAATCAAGATTGGCAGA